ACTTGTTCCCCATCACGGCTGAATTGGGCAATCAATTAACACAAGGCACCCCTTCCCTCCCCTCTACTTATACTCTGCCAGTTCACCTCTGCTGTGACAGCAGGCAACACGAAGATGACATGGATGGGATCTGCTGCCCTCTGCTGGGAGCGTTACAAACTGCAGGAACACCACGTTTAAAACTTACAAACCAAAGATACAAGTTGATTTTATTATCAGAACAACTTACCAGCCTATTATTACTCAAACTAAATCATTTGAATAGATGTTCAGCTGATTTTAAAGTTTTATTTTAAAAAGGTTCAGAAGACTTGCCCCTTTAACTCTTCCTCTCTTTGCCTCTCCTCCACTTCATCTTCCTGTTTTCAGTATAAAAGTTGATGTCTGATGTTTTAAAATGCACCTGGAGGGAATAAACAAGCTAATTGTGTAAAATAAATATATGTCAGACATTTGTATAGTTAATCTGACAGATACAATGGAAAACAGCAGCAGGCTGCAGTAAAACAAATGTTGTGACATTTAAATGTTTTCATGGCAAAGAATGAGTCGAATGTTATCCTGAACGGTTTTTAAACAGTGCAGTTTGAAAGAGATTAAAACAGTAGTTTTGCAGCTGTGTAGATGAACAATTCTAAAATATAAATCAGCTGAATCCATCAAAATCAAGCTTGAGATCTGCGTAGATAAATATGACAGATTCAGACAAATATAATAAAAAAAAAAATCAGAGGTCACGCGGGGTGGGGCATAACGACAGAGCTCCACATTCAAACGCATGGCTTTTAGGAAACTTCTAGATGGGTTAATCTACAGTTTCAACACTTGTTTTCACTCTAGTTTAACACTAATAGGACTGACACAATAACTAATTTTGCTGGGCGATTAATTGTATCAGAAATTATTGCGATAAACGATAATATTGTTTGAAATGTGACAATAATTAGTAATTATTGTAAAATTTAAGGAGAAATGTTGTTTTTTTTGTGTTTTTTTTTGTGTGAGTGTAGTACCTTTTATTGACCACCGGATGGCAGTATAAGACCGTTTGAACCAAAGATGGATAGTGAAAGAGTGAGCAGCATGTCTCTAAGAAAAATGAGAAGGAGGCCTCTTGACGTGACATGGGCTGTCTCTCCTTCCTTTTTTTTGGTTCTCAAAATGGCGGATGCTCTGTGTGGTTTGAATTCTTTAGCATTTTTCACACAAAGCTTTTAATTAAAAAATATCAGTAAACAAGTTCTCAGCTTCTTTTTGCAGAGAAAAACAACTTTTTACACGAAGGCAAAGGTTTCAACCGTGAATTGAATTGAATCTCTCCCCCCCAAGATCGGTCTGTTAGCTTAGCTCGTAGCTTAGCTTCTTTGAATGATCCAAAAACACAATTTTGGACGGTTAAATGGATTTTAAAGAGAAATGAGAAAGGACGGGGTCAGTGAAGAACACCGGAGTTGATCTTTTGTCATCCAGTGTCTTCAGTAGAAAGTGAGAGACACGAAGAAACGATAAAGCCGATAAATGAAAATCAGTTTGATAATTTTCATTTATCATGCGATTAATTGATTTATTAACCTTTATTTTACCAGGAAAATCCCATTGAGATCACAGATCTCTTTTGCAAGGGAGGTCTGGGCTTGAAGCAGCCTAACTTTTTTTTTTTTTTGAGAAATTTATTAATTTCATTAAAAACAAAATAACTATATACAATAGAAAACAAAAAAAATTGTATACAATCAAAAATAAAATGAAAGGCAGCAGAAGAAGAATAAATCTTATAATATCTGCACCTTTTTGCTCTGAATATATTCAAAAGTACTTTACAAAAAAAAAAACATGCATGTTTGTGCTCTGTGCGAGGAAACCGGAGTACCCGGAGAAAACCCACGCAAGCACGAGAAGAACGTGCAAACTAGGCGCAGAAAGACCAGATTTATTGTTTATCACGACAGGCCTAAACACTAAGAGACGAGGGTGAGGTTCTGCCTCAAGTGGAGGAGTTCGAGCATCTCAGGGTTTTGTTCATGAGCGAGGGAAGAATGGAGCGTGAGATTGACAGATGGGTTGGTGCAGCATCTGCAGTGTTGTGGACTCTGTGTCGGTCCATTCCGGTGAAGAAGGAAGAACTGTCCAGATTGTCATACATGATCAAATGAACAGTCTGGTACAAAGCCTGTGAGGCAGGTGTGTTGTAAAAGTAACTCAAAGTCCAAGGTGCTCTAATAAGCTGCAATAAAAACCACCATCATCATAACGGGTATTACCCACACGAGTAATGTGGGTTTTTGGTTGAGTAAAGGCATCTTAACAAGAAAATGAATAAATAAATAAACTTTGGCTCTGAAAAAAAGTCTGATATTAAATTTACCTTTTTTAACCATGCTTAAACGTTGACCGGAGCTACACAGAAGTGAGAAAAACACTAAATGTGGCAAAAATGTATAAAAAAAAAACCAGGTCAGAACCAGTAAACTGACGGAACGTTTTTGTTTGTTCAGTTTGAGTGTGAAATTCATGTTCATTATGCTTGTAATTTAACTGAAAAACAACCGAGTGGATACTGTCTGCATGTTGTTAACGAATGGAGCCAAACCCTGAATGCACCACTAGTTTGATCCCGTCAGCTGGAGGAGGACGGATGAGGCTCCGTGGTGCCAGCAGTGAGTGAGTGACTCGGTGAGACTGATTGATTTTCTGTGACTTTTCTGCAACTACACAAATAAAAGACCTGCTGCTGTTCGTATTAACCCAAAAGAGGGGAGAAAAATGAAAAAGCTATTTTAGACTGACTCTTCAGCTGTGGGAAACTTTATGAACGATCAGTAAAAAGCTGCTTCATCAAATCACTAAAATAACCAAACAGATTCTGAATGTGTTTCCGATTGCAGCGCTGCACTGTGAGGGTTCCAGCGTCCACAATGTAAAGAAAACAATAAGAAATGTCCAGATACTGTTGTTCTACAAAGTTTTGGTAATTCCAGTAAAGAATAACTCATCATATCTAATCAGTACTTAGATTCATTTATCTCAGTTTTGTCACTTTGCCCTTTAAATTTCTATGGCCCATTAGAAAGTACCGTGTTTTCCACCGTACACGTCACACTGCCGTATAAGTCGCATCGGTCCAGACATGTCTAATAAAGTGGAAAAAAACATAAAATGTCACTTTGCCACATAAGTCGCATCTATTATGCGTCACCACTGACAACCTGGAAATGTGGGCAAAAAATTGATTGGCTGCCAGATGGCAGCCGCAGGAGCGTGCACGGGAGGACTTTAACAAGAATTTAACAAGATTAACACTTAAAAACAATTATTTGTTTGCTCAACTTTTACTTAATAAATGCACTTTGACGGTCAAAATCAGCTGCATTTCAAAAGCTGATTCGTGGCGAGGGAAGATTCGCTGTGCATTTCTTCTAAATTTAACGAGAGAACCACCTAAAAACAATTGTTTGTTTGCTTGAAATTATAGCAAAGGTGTGTCTCAGTTCAACTTTTCCTTAATAAATGCACTTTAACGGTTAAATCAGCTGCATTTCACCTGGGCAGCGCGGTGAAATGCAGCTGATTTGACGTTTGCTCCAGGAGTTCCAGAGCGAGACAAAGGCGGCTTGGTATGGCAAGCCAAGTGTCTCATTAATAGCCACTTTGACCAGTTAATAAGACACTTGGCTTGGTATGGCAAGCCAAGTGTCTTATTAATAGCCACTTTTACCTGTTAATAAGACACTTGGCTTGGTATGGCAAGCCAAGTGTCTCATTAATAGCCACTTTGACCTGTTAATAAGACACTTGGCTTGCCACATTAGTTGAGGGCCCTCTAGTGGCTTGAAATGGTAGTGTTCAATATTTTCCATGTCAGAATGAATGAAATCATCAGATCTCAACCAAAAATTGGATTATAAAAGGGGGGGGGGGGGGGGGGATTATATTAGATGTTCAGTGTATAAGTAGCAGGTCTTGCTAATTTATTAGAAAAAAAAAAACGGCTCTCATACTGTGCTCGAGTCAAAAGCCGAGGAAGAAAAGAGGAGTCTTCAGCTGAGGTTTAAAAGACTTGGAGAAGTTATCCGATTGTCTTTATATTTTAATTTAGATTGTAGAAAATCAAAGAGAAACTGGTTGGTTTACTGGGATAAAGATGTTGAGATTACAGAAATATGATGAGGCATGCAGTAAAATCTTAAAGATCAGGAAACAGACAGGAAGCCAGTAGAGAAATAAAGGAAATAAAATAAAGTTATTGCTACACTCCGTTGGGATCTTCCCAAAGCGACAACTAATGGAAGCGTTCATTATGGCTAGAAGTTTATTCAAAACTCAGGATAACAGGAAAACAAAGCTAAATTGTTGTCAGACCATTCTTTCTCTGCACCTGAATGCAGCCAAAGGTTGTTTAAAATAAAGCACTAATCAAACTATGAACACAAACTGTAAAGTTCTCAATAGCAAACTCTCTATCAACGCCTACATGTTCTGAATATTTAAATGCAGATATTCATTTAAAACAAATACGGACCTGAAGATTTATGAACACAAGCTCTTGAACACATCGACACAGTTCTGTAACATCCCTGACCCCCTCAGGTGCAACGACAAGAGACAAAACGACCCTGACATGATGAAATAAGGCAGGATCTTGAACAAGCGTCATCTAAGAACCAAAATTCTGTGTGACCTGCCAGATGCAGGGTTTAAATATGCAAACATCCAGCGAGACATTTGTTCATGAGAAGAACTAGTAGTGTGTATTTATACTCTAAAATGGCTAAGAGGAATAGACAAAACACATCAGCTCATTCACTATCACCATTTTCAAACAGTGATAGTGAAGAAATGTCCAACACACATTTTATCCACAGTTCGAATATGAACGCTGCTACGCTTTGACACGAGATCAGCTTGTGTGATGTAAATGATCGTGAGTCATAAACTGGAGTTTGTTTGCATGTTTATCAGGAAGTTGGGAAGTGAAAGGGTCTTTGTTTCGTGTGTCTTACTTGTTTTTAACGAAGTGGGGGAAAGCCTCCTCAACTTGTGTCGGCCAAAACTAACGAGCTCCCTGGAAGGTGTCCTTCGAACTCCAACGGGACTCCTGATCGGCGCGTGGAGTTGAGTCCGTGGGGAGAATTTTACCGATGGCAGGTTCCCCCCCTTTTCTGATCCAGTGCCACTGATCAAACCACAGAGGACAAAAAAAAAAGCAGAGAAACAATCAGAGGTTACTGCTGTACAAAAACAGAAAAAGAACAAGTAATGCTGCCATCTTCTGGCAAAAGAGTGATAAGTATTTACCTGCTGGCAGACTTCCTGATGATTTTCATTCTGCTGCGGAGTTTGAATCCCCGAGGGGTGGAGGACAGGAGGGGGGAGCGTTGAGTTAGAGATGGAGAAACAACAAATCCAGTTTTTATTCCTTTGTTTTTCTCTGCCGTCCAGTGGAAGGCAGACGTATGATGAGACACTGCTGCCCCTCCTGACGCTGCGGCGCTCTGACCTCCAGGCTTCCAACGGTAACGATTCACAGATGAAGAAGTGCCAGGAGAAACTGCAGTTCCCTTTTTAAGCTTTACAGACTGAGCAGACGCTGCTTTGGCTTTTTTGACAGTGTCTCCCCTCTCCAGGATTCTCTGAGGAGGAGTCGAGGCTTTTGGAGACGACACTTTCCGAGGCGTCCTAGCCTGAAGTCTAGAGGAGGAGACCCATTTGTACTTCGATGTCTTGGGGGCTATAGCCACTGGGCTAAGCTTCCGAGCCAATTTCTTGGGAGGCGTTCTCTTACTGAGTGCTGCTGTTGACGGTTTATCAGTAGAAAGTCCAGTTTTTGATGCTGATGCAGCAAGAACTCTGCTCACGGATGAGGAAGCTGAGCTGACTGCTCTGAACTCCGCTTCTAGAGTCTGGCTCTTCACCCATGTAAACTTGGACTTTTTCACAAAAGATGCTTGAACCCGAGTGTTGATGCTCTGCGAGGAGACATTTTGTGCGGGTTGTTTTAAAACTCTGGAGGAAGCAGTGAGAGCTGGTGTGCTCTTACCAGATGGGGGAAGTGGTGGAGTCGTAGACGTAACAGTCTTCTTTACGTCAGTGCTGGTTTTGCTGTTCACGCAAGTTTTGTTCTGCACTTCAGTCCTGCTTTGAGAACTCGTAGAACTATTAATGTTAACTAAGGAAGGATCTGTACAGAAGCCTACAGTTTTCTTTTCTGACAGAAGCACAAATCTGTTGTCAAACTTTTGTTGAAACACCTGAGCCTGCGAGGCCTTATGATGTGCACTGGTGCTCGCTGGCACTTGTTTTTCAGCATCTGTGTGCAATTTGTTTGCCGCTGCTCCCTTTATTCTTGCTTTACTGTTTTCCCCTTTTTGTTGAGAAGGACTCCCCGATAGTAAAGTGGCAGTTTTAGTGAGATCAGTCGCATTTCCCCTGCTGTGGCCAGGCAGGGACACATTATCAGTTCTGACCTGAGGATGAGACTGATGAAGGGAAGAAGAGGCTGAAATTGAGGGATGTCCCACGGTTGACGGGGGACGGGTATTTCTCAGTGAATATGTTTTCCTCCAACTTCCCCGACTCTGAGGAGCATATGGTCTCCCTCTGGAGCTATGGCGATAGTTGACAGATGTACTAAAACCTCCTCCCCTGGCTGCTGTGGGAACTTGAGGATGTCTCGGTTCTGATCCTGCAAACGGCGCATCTCCATGGACGCTCTTATGTTTATTGATGAGATCTGAAATTTTTCACAACAGGTTTAGCTTTGTTGCGCGATCACAAGGAAACATGCTTTTAGTGTTGTTTTCTAGAATTTAGGTACTGTTCAATGTATTAAAACTCAAAAACCTGGAAAAATTAAGTTATTTAAAATACATGTACTAAGTGACTTCTTTGAGCTTTCACCGATATTGATTTTTAATTATAAGATAAATAATGGAAATAAGACTTATCTGTTATGGAGTAAACTTGATGCAACATAATCAGGACACAGCAGAGAAGTGTCTCCCATTGCTATTGCTTGATGATGGGCTGATGACAGCCAACAAGATAAATGAAATACTAGTACAGTAACACTGATGTTAAAGTAATCTATCAGTGCAATACCAGGCAAAAATTGTGTACATAACCAAAACCCAGAAAGAAGTATGTGATTGTTTATGATGGTCTGATGATTCAAAATGTTAAATATTTATTGGGAAAATACCCGTGATGTGCTTCATGCTAAAGATGAGGGGGGGGAAAAACAAATGTGATGGTATGGATGGATAACTCACATCTGTGAAGGCAACATAATATTATAAAGTTATTATTTTTTATTTAGTTAATGTAGTTTCATTCATTCATACAACCTTTATTTATGCAGGTTAGTCTCATTTTCAAGAGAGTATGGTTACTGTACAGTACGTATGTTTCATTACATAAAATTATTATTAAATAACAATTGCAAATGTCCTATCTACAAACAAAACACGGCACATTTTATTAAGATTCGTCATGTTTTAAACGTGTAGTAACGTTAACAATTAAAAAAATAATGCTAGATTAACGTTCATTTTACAAACTGCCCATATGAGGAAGGACAACACAATTTACACCAGCGTGATTAAAGTACGTCCACTTTAAAACAGGTTTGTAACAAACAAACCAACCAGCAATCATTAAAAAAGAGATTTACCTTGAAGAAGTTCAATTTGTCTCTTCAGCGCTTCTCTTTCCTCCATGTTTACGACCTGTCAACACCCAGGCGCTTTTTGATGACGCACTTTCTACTGGCCAATCGAATGGGTAAGACTTACGTTTGTAACCTCAGTAAAGACTAACAGGCTCAATTTTAAATTTCGGATAAGCTAAAATAAGAAACACGTTGTAACATATTTTGCGCATTAATATTAATATCTGTAATATAATTTGTTCTTTGATAAGTTGGTTTATGCAACTTATACAAAGTTATATGTTTTGTATGTTTATCTAAGCACTCGCGGGTTTCCTGTAAGACAAAACTGAGGGTTCAAACTCAGACAAATCTAACATCAACAAATGAAAACAACCTTGTTTATATCAACTTCGAGTATTTTAATAGTAACCGACATTAGAAGAACAAGAAGTGGATTTTTAGGATTAATTTAAGGGATTTGAAAACGTTTGTCTCTTTACCGGAGGCTGTAAACAGCTGAGTGGGACTGACATGAAGTGAAAGGGGAAGTGAAACTTCAGGCAGCTAGCTGCACATTAAACAAGTTCGAAGAAACAACAGAAAGTAGCTCAGAAGTTGAGAAGGTAAAGCTGACTAAACCTATTTTTCCATTTCATGCACAATAAACAGTTATATAAGTGTTTAACTGGTGCTACATGTGTATTTGTTTTACCTTAGTTCAGTTCATTTTAGTGAATTGTAAAGCTAATTAGCTACCTAGCTGCTGTGTTGCCAAACAATAACATGCGTGTTGTTCTGAGCTGTTATAACTTGTTTATGTGTGTTGGCACAGATTCTCCTGACACCAGGATGGCTTCATCATCAGACTACAAGTTCTACATCATAACAGAAAAACCCATATACCTTGAGAAAATTCGTCTTGGATGTATATGTTTCATTCGTAACTATATATATGAATCAGAAATCTCAAAATCTGCTTCCCTCACGAAGTTACCAGTCATTCCTTTGCCAGTTGCGACGTTAAGTTATAATATTGATATGAACTGCATGAAAAGCCTGACTCCAAAGGAGGCTGACCTGCTGTTAGCCGTACCTGAAAAAGCCAGGTTGAAGTGGTTCAGAGACAGAAAAGCTGTCCAAACAGCCCTGACACTGATGGTGGGAACATCAGTAAATGTGGAAGAGGATGGAAAGGATCTGAGAGGCATCGTTTGCTACATTGGACCAGTGGTTGAGCCAAGTTTTTCCTGCCCCATTACAGGAACATTGTTTGGAATTGAACTACAGGTGTGAATAAGTGCAAGTTTAGTCATAAGAAATGTGTATTTTCTCCCTTCCGTTCCCGTACTGTCATTGTAAAACCTAAATGGGGCCACCTGAAATTCTAAATGATGACTTCAAACCATCTCTCATGCATCTTGAAGAATAATTGTGCCTGAGCCACATGCCATCCTCCATGCTTCATCAGTTTTTGGCAGGTTGCAGGCCAAAGTTATACATACAGTCTGAAACATAAACATATGATTACCTAAAAATGTTAACAAGTTCTGAAGGTTCTAGAATCTAGAATGTCTTGACAGTATCTAAGACCGTTATCTTCTTGTTAGGGATTATGGTTGACTGCAGCTGGTAGTTTCTCTCTGCCAACATAAAAATGATTTGTTTGACAGCACTCACCGGACTGATCAGTACTGAGAACAATGAAAAAGTCCCAAGGTATACAGTAAGGATCTAAAAAGGAAAGTTGATTTAAACAATTTGAAAGCCTTATGAAGACATTTCTGAAGAACTTCAGGTTCCAAGTTCAAACGATTGTACTTCCAGTAAGTACAAGTTATTTGGATGCGTCACCACTTTGCTAAGGTCTGGAAGAAGACTCAAACTGTCCCCCTCGGATGAAACCGGTTCAGATGTTCAGGAACAACTCAGAACCAACAAGGCTCAAGCCTGCCATGAACTGGAAACTTCTAGGAAACCACAATACTGTTCCAAGTTTTACATCTCCATGAGAAGGTGCCAGCCAAGAAAGAAGCTCCTGCTTCAAAAGCCACAAAACTCGCAAGCCAAATTCCTTCTGAGGAAAAGTCTGATGGTCAGATGAGGCAAAGCTTGGACTGCTTGGCTTCAACGACAAAAAGTACGTTTGGAGGAGCCAAAGTGAGGCTTTCAAACCCAAGAACTCTACTGAATGTGAAGCATGATGGTAGACGCATCCTGGAGCTGTTTCACTACACAGAGTGTGTGGAATACTGTACCTCCAAGTTCTTCTACTTCACCTCAAATCAACATCTATAACTACATGTTGACCTCAGTCTTATTTAAACATCTGTGGACTATGATTAAAAGCCGAGTCCATAAAACATTAACCAAATTAAATTAACTCCACCAATTCTATAAAGAAGAAGAGTGGACAAAAACCTGCCAGAAGCTTGTAGATGGAGACATAAAGCACGTGGTTCAGGGGCAACTTGCTAAGAGACATTTGATCAAATATCAGTGGAGGTCTGTGGCTATATTTGAGTCTTTATAAGTTCAACCTTGTGTGGATTCAAGTAAATCGTTCAAAACACCGAACCAAGGTGATCATTAATATGACTGTGCTGTTTTGCTTGTTTATCAGGGCGTGGACAAAGGAAAGGGAAACAGCAACGGGAAATGTCAAAATAAGAAATATTTCACATGTGAGAAAAACTGTGGCATTTTTGTCCCGTTTTCCAAAGTCAGACCTGTGGTCCCCATATCCTTGATGCGCACCTTGTCCTCTCAGTCAGAAACCAAAGCACTGTCTCCAGGAGACAGAGTAACATACTTAATCGATGATAAATGTCGCCATGGAATGGTGGTACACGTGGACGATGAGGATGGAAACCCGCATGTGTGGATCTCCACTGTAAGTAAAGTTCCAGTTTTCTCGTTTGATTAGTAAAAAAAAAAAAAAAAGATAACGGTCAATTTCATCAATGTCTTGTTCACACGGCATCAACAATAACAGGTTTTGTCTCTAGGACACGGATGCAAGTGGAAAAACAGGAGGAGAAGTTAAAGTTTCAATAGAAATGGTTGTTAAAGGAGAAATACCTTCAGGTTTGAGCAGCTCTTTACGACGCTATGTTTTCTACAGTTGTCTGAAATCTGAGAGATAAATTCATCTCACTGTAGGTCCCGAGAGCGTCCTTGATACCCCACCAGCCGAACAGCACACTGATCTGCACCTGGGTCTGAATTCCATGGTAGAAGTGTCGTTGATGACTGGGAACTCGTATGGAATCATCCGCTGGATGGGCGCTCTGCCTGGACGTGATGATAGGATGGTTGGACTTGAGCTGGTAAACCTTTAATTTGATGTTTGTGTTTAGATGTAGGACTACAGAACCCAGTGGGTCAGTACTTTATGCAAGTATCTCCATAAACAAAAGGAAGCTTGGGAATGCTTCAACGTCCAAAACGAAATCTAGTTGGTCTTTTTTGACATGATTCTCTTTAATGTTCGACTACAACCACAGCTCTGAAAAGTGGCAGTAAGTTAATAGGACTGGGTGTAAAAAGAGAACCATAGAGAACAAAGTCCGTGCTCAATAATCCAGGTGTAAAATCCAAAAATTTTCAGTCAGGTCATCTGGATGATTTTTTTTTTTTTGTGCTGAGACGTTTCGCCTTCCATCCAAAAAAAAATAAACCATCCAGATGACCTGACTGAACATTGTTGGATTTTATACCTGGATTATTGAGCATGGACTTTGGTGTTTGGAAGCAGTTTGACTTGACTGTCGACGAGGGAGAGGGCGTGCACCAGAGGAGAGGGCGTGCACCAGAGACCATCTTAGCACCAACATTTCCACTTTGGAGTAAGCTGTTGGGGGAGAAGCCGTTTTGTTTGGTGTTTCCTCAGACTGATGAAGCCTTCTGGATGAAGGGCGAAATGTCTGCGAAAACCCACTCATAAGATATTGAAACAATTTCAGAAGAATTGTTCTTCAGAAAACCGGGAAGACTTTAAATCTCCCGTTATCTACAGGTAACTTATGGTCTCGATCTTCGGGCCCTCAGGATCCACTGCATTAAATCAGGTCTGGTTCTGTTCTGGGCTCAGGAACACTTCCACAGGTCATTGTCTGTAAACACAGTTCATCCAGAAATGCTGCTTAAAGCTCTATCAGGCAAAGAAGAAGCCAGATGTGAACACCTTCCAGAACCGCTGCCGTCTTCTCTGGACCAGAGCTCGTGTCAAATGGACTGTAGCAAAGAGGAGAACTGTTCTGTGGTCAGATGGATACAAATTTTAATTTCTTTTGCAAACCATGGACACCATCAGCACAGTGTTCAAAAGCCTGCCTCTCTGATGATATGGGGGTGCATTAGTGGGTTTGTAAGCTCCGGTTTGAACAGAGAGTAAATGTGTTTGCAGGAAGAGGAAAAAGGAGTGAGTGACGGTACCTTCAAAGGGCAGCGCCTTTTCACGTGTCCTCCAAAAAGAGCTCTGTTTGTGAAGCTGACGTCGTGCCGCCCCGACTCGCGCTTCCAGAGCGTATCGGCCAATCACGCCGAGAAGATGCCGAAACTGGACAACTTGGGCAGGTGCAGAACAACTAACTACGCCGTCTCAAATGGTTTGTTCACACCTTTATTGAACCGTTTTTGTTTTTGTAATGTTTTCTGTTCTTTCCTTATGCCTTGATATAGTTTTAATATTACGGACGCTGACTCAGCGTTCACACTGTTGGTTTCCTGTTTTACATTTTTCCCTTCGTTTTTACAATTTCTTCTACAGCGTACTTTGTTCTAGTTTAGCCTTTCATCTTTCACAACGTTTAGCTCATTGAGAAACTGGGTGCTGTGACTTATTTTGGTTTTTGTAATGTTTATAATTTTCATAACAATTACTTCTTCTTTTTTTTAAGAAATATTCTCCCCGTAGAAAATCTTTTCAATTCCTTTAAAAACATTGTTCTCTTTGAACTCTGCTTTAGTTTACAGCTTCTGTTTCATCTTCTAGTGCTACGTACTTTTAGCTTTAAGCGCACCATTTTCTGTGTTTGGCATGTATCGATCCTTTTTATACTTTTATCTCTTATCTTTGACCATTTTAGCTAATTTTTGCTGCTTTTAGCTTATTGCCAGACTTTTGATACTTTTAGTTTCTAGCAAGCCTTTTCATACTTTTAGCTAGGTGTTTGATACTTTAGACTTTATTTATCTCTAACGTTTTGCTGCATGGTGGCGCAGAGGTTGGAGAAGATGGGCCTGTGATCAGAAGATCGTTGGTTCAACTCCGGTACCGACAACTTCAAAAATTTGGGTGGGATTGGTGAAGCATCCACACCTGCCTCCACCCTCATTTGCTCCACTCTGGGCCCTTGAGCAAGGCCCTTAACCCCCCCATCTGCTCCCCCGGGCGCCCTAGATGCAGCTCTGTGCTCCACACAGAGGCTGTGGGAGCTCGGTGTCTGTGGTTGTGTCAGGAAGAGCATCTGGTGTAAAAATAGTTGCTAAGTCTTCGTGCAACTTAGTCGCTGTGGTGACCCCTGAAGAAGGAGCAGCCAAAAGAAGAAAAAAAAGTATCTTAGTAGTTATTCCAACAAGACTTTTGGTACTTTTTGCTCTTTTTTTTTTTTTTGGTGCTTAAGCTTTTAAGCCTTTTACTACTTTTAGCTAATCTCTTGCTGGATTTAGCCTGCCTTTTGCTAATTTTTGTTAACCTATTGCTACTTTTCGCTAGCTTTTTGCTACTTCACCTTTTTGCTACTTCACCTTTTTGCTACTTGAGCTTTTAACTAACCTTTTTTTAATCCTTTTCTGCTTTTAGCATTCCTTTAGCTACTTTTACCTAAATATTTGCTGCTTTTACAGCAGAATAGTGTTACTTTTAGCTCAATGCCGACCTTTTGCTTCTTTTAGCTTCTAGCAAGCCTTTTGATACTGTTAGCTAGCTTTGTGTTACTTTATCTTTCTTCCCTTTTGCTACGTTTAGTTAACCATGTGCTGGTTTTAGCGTTTTAGTGTTCTGCTACATTTAGCTGGAGTTTTGTTACTTTTACCTTCTAGCAAACCTTTTGCAACATTTAGCTAACCTTTTGCTGCTTTTAGCATGTGTTTAACTTCTTTTAGCATTTAGCAACTGTAGATTTTAGCTGGCGTTCTTTAATTGAGTTTGAGCGTTCTTAAAGTCGTTCAGCGTTCACGCAGCTGATTTCTCCGTTCGTTTGTTTTTGCATCAGAGGAGGATGCAGATTACGGCTCGGGGAACCTGGAGGTTTTTCCTCCAATCAGCACCGAGCAGGTCAACGACCTTCTGATTGGACGGATGAGGGGGATCCAGGGACACTGTAACTCCTGCTACATGGACGCCGCTCTCTTCGGGTCAGAATGATAAACGTATAATGATACAATGAGTGCAAGGCCGATGAGAGCAGTTTATAGTTTACAGACTGAGCGTTTTGTTTCCTGTTGCGATTATTTACTCTAAAACTGGTGAAAATGTCTTTGAGTAGTTTATTTATTGTGTGCGTAAAGGTTTTCAAACTAGCTGGTTGCTTTTATTGATTTATTTTTCAGTTTGTTCTCCTGCTCGTCTGTGTTGGACTCCATGCTGTTTAAATGTACAGCGCCTCAAGATGCTCCCATTCAGAGAACGCTGCTCTGTGACATCGTCAACCCCCTCCGCAGGTTGGTTTGCAGTAACGCCTCTCAAATGAAACCGCTCCCTGCTGCTGGGGGAGCGTGGTGTGTGACAGCGAGCGTGTTTCTTTCAGTAAGGGCTTCGTGGAGGGGCGACACGTCATGAAGTTCAGGCAGCAGCTGCAGAAACACGGCTACAGTCACTCTTTCACCACGGATGAGAAGGGTCAGTCAGAGCCGGAAGCTCCTGCAGAAACCTTCAGTCTGTTCATTGATCTGTTGAAGAAGCTCAAAATGTTTTGTCTTTCAGATCCAGAGGAGTTTCTGAACATTGTCATGCACCACATCCTGGCTCTGGACCCTCTGCTCAAACTGTAACTTCTCACTTTTAACGTTGTCTCGTTTCACAGACTTGTGCATGAGTTGAATCCTTTATTTATTTATTTATTTATTCTTTCGCTTCAGATCAGCTGCGGGCAAAGTGCAGGAGAGCTACTGCTACCAGATCTTCCTGGATCAGAACCACAGGCTGATTCTTCCAACAGTCCAGCAGCTCCTGGAACATTCCTTCCACAGCGCAGGACTCAAGCTGGCAGAGGTGGGACCTCCCCTACGCTACAGCTTTCACTTTTGTTCTTTCATGGAGCACACTGAAGTGAAACGATGCTCCTCCAGGGTTTTACTGCAGCAACAGTTTGCAAGACGTTGGAACGATGTGTGAAATGTAAATAAAACTGAACCCAGTGGTTATTTTAGGTCTTTAATCTTTACACGTTGCCTTTGGGGTCCATTTTTTAGAAAATAGAACATCCCTGTTCATTTCTTTGCTGATGATATTCAGTTGTATCTGCCCATTAAGTCAGGCAGGGTCACTCCACTGGAACCACTCCTGACCCGTTTAAGACACATTAAAGTTTGGTTGAAACTAAATTTCCTGAATCTTAAATGAAAATAAACCTGAAGGCATCAGCTTTGGTTAACGTCATAGTCCTGACGCTCTTGGCCCCTTGGCTTCATGCCACCACTCCACTGTCAGGAATCTGGGAGTTATTTTTGAAAGTGCTTTTAAATTAAACAAATAAATCCGGTTTGTTCCAACTAAGACTTACTGCCAAAGTGAAGTCTTGTCTCCCTCTCAGGGACATTGAAAAGATGATTCAAGCTTTTATTAGCTCTCGTTCGGTCTGCGTTAATGCTCTGTGTTGGTTTAGATAACTCGTCTTTGAACCAGCAGCTCGTCTTTTAACAGCAACACGAGCACATAACCCCCGTCCTGGCTTCTCTCCACGGGCTTCCTGTCCACTTCAGGGTTGATTTGAAGATTTTATTGCTTGTTGTTAAAGTCTTGAAAGGTCTGGCCTCGTCTTATTTATGTGATCTTCTTAACATCTACACTCCAGTAAGAGCACTCCGGTCCACCAACCAGTTCCTCTTAGATGTCCCCAGATCCAACCTGAGGTCCAGAGGTGATCGGGCTTTTGTGGTTGCTGTTCTAAAGTTGTGGAACAGTTTACCGGATCATTTAAAAACTGTTGAGACTTTTAACTCTTCTGTTGTCGTTGGCATTTGATCCATGCAGAGTCTGAGAACTAGTTACACCTGATTTTTATTGTAGTTGTATTTTACTGTTAACTTTCTTGTGTTTCCTGAGTGGCACAATATGTTTTTTTGTTTCTCGTTTTAATTTGACTTAACTGTAAAGCACTTTGCTCAGCTTCTGTTGTTTTCCTGCGCTATAGATGTAAATAGACACTGAAAGTGTCATGAACCCAGATTTAAAGACTGGACCCTGTTCCTCCACCAGGTGGCTCAGTGGGACAGGTGTTCCATCTGATTTCTTGTAGTCGGATCATTTCTTTATTTTGGTCCATTGTGTTTCCGTTCTCTTCTTTTTTTATTCCTTCATTCTCCATCTTCAGGTACCGTCCTGCCTCATCCTCCAGATGCCTCGCTTTGGCAAGAAATTCAAGATGTTTGACAAAATCATCCCGTCTCTGGAGCTGGACATCACCGACCTCCTCTCTGAGGGTACACTTGAACACACACACACACACACACACACGGCATGATGTAGCACGGTGAAGACAGCCCGTGGGTCTGTGTGTGTTTCAGGTCCTCAGCAGTGCATCCTGTGTGGAAACCTGGCCGTAGAAGAGTGCACCGACTGTTTTAAAGAACTGGTTTTCAGCCCGACGGGATTCAAAGTCTTCTGCAAGACGTGTTCGGCTCAGGTTCGTGGTTTTATCTGAACACGAGTGATTCGATCTGCGTTTGAGATGTTCAAACCGGGTCACGATGCCACAGGACGTCAACAGAACTGCTGAACAAAGAAAAGAGTCAAAGTGCTGCCACGGTCCAGTCCAAGTCCAGAACTTCAGCCTGACGGGAATACTGTGACAGAGAGCGTTACAGATCATACTGACCTGGTTTTAACGCCTTGTTGGATTATTTTATAAATGTTCGAATAATCTTTAAACTAAAAGAAGATAGATCCTTTTTTTTTTTTTACCATATCTGCGTTTCAAAATGTTTTCAGGAAAAGGACCGACGGTCGAAGTTTGTTTAGAAATGCAGAGCGCTTGACTTGTGCAGCCGATCGCTCAGCAGCTAGTTAACGATCGTTACAGGGACGTCATCTGCGCTTTAAGTGCAGGCTGAAGTACGGAGAGCCGAAACGATTTCTCGCTCCACGGATTTCATTTAAATAAAGAAAAACAAATCAAGAGGATAAAAACGTCAGCAGAACCAGATGTTAAATGTAGCAGTTATTTAACAAGTAGGATACCAAGTGTGTGTTCTCCACAGGTGCACTTTCATCCCGAGCGCCGGTGCCACCAGCCCGCCCCTCTGAACATCCCCAAGGGTTACCTGGGCCGCGGCATCCCTCACATCCTGACCCGAGACCGGCTGGAGCTGTTCGCCGTGCTCTGCATCGAGACGAGCCACTACGTGTCCTTCGTCAAGCACGGGCCCAACAAACACGACTGGATCTTCTTTGACAGCATGGCCGACAGACAAGGTGGGCGGGGTTTATTCTAGATCTGCACCCAACACGTCCGTTTGGATAATAACGTGGCGCTGAGTCGCTTTCACGCTGATGTTTTCCTGTTTGTTGTCGTTCCCCTCCGTTTTCCACACTTTAACAGCGTCTGTGTACTTTCTGCTATTTTAGTCATTGATGTATCAACATCTTCAGCTCTTTCAGCAGATCGGTGCTGTAACTTTAATATTTTTAAAATATTTACCTTTTTAAAAAAACAAAAACAATTCTTTGTAATACATTCAGGTCTTCAGTTTCTTCAAAAATGTTTTCTTTGTAATCTGCTGTAGCTGCTCGCTCTGTTTTAATCTTCTTATGCTTTTTTTGCTTCTAGCCAACATTTTGCTACTCTGCTTTTAGCTACCATTCTGCTAATTATATATTCTAGTTAACCTTTTCTTTACTTTTATCTTCTTGCTAGCCTTTTGCTTCTTTTAGCTTCTAGCTACAATTCCACTACTTTTAGCTTCTTGCCAGCCAAATACTACATTTACCCATTGTTCTGCTACTTTTAGCTTGTAGCTTCTGTTCTGCCATTTTTACCTTCAGCTAGCATGTGCTTCTTTAAGCATATAGTTAGCCTTATACTAGCTGCTAGCTTGGCTTTTGCTACATTTAGCTTCCAGGTAAGTCTTTTTTGCAACTTTAAGTTTCTAGCTAGCTTTTTGCTGCTTTTAGTTTTAAGCTACTGTTCAACTTTTAGTTATTGTTCTGCTATTTTTAGCATGTAGGTCACCTTCTGATACTTTTAGCTTCTAGTTAGCCTTTTCAACTTTTAGCTTCTAGCTAATTTTTTTACAACTTTTAGCTACTTTTAGTTGTGTTCTGTTACATTTAGCATCTAGGTAACCTGATACTTTTGACTTCTAATTAGCCTTTTGCAACTTTTAGCTTCTAGCTAACTTTTTGCAACTTTTAGCTTTTAGCTACTTTTAGTTGTGTTCTGCTACATTTAGCATCCATGTAACCTGATACTTTTAACTTCTAGTTAACCTTTTACACCTTTTAGCTTCTAGCTCATTTTTTGCAACTTTTAGCTACTTTTAGTTGTGTTCTGCTACATTTAGCATATAGCTAACCTTCTGATACTTTTAGCTTCTAGCTCACTTTTTGCAACTTTTAGCTACTTTTAGTTGTGTTCTGCTACATTTAGCATATAGGTAACCTTCTGATACTTTTAGCTTCTAGTGTGCCCTTTTGCAACTTTTAGCTTCTAGCTAGCTTTTTGCTACTTTTAGCTTTAAGCTATTGTTCAACTTTTTGTTACTGTTCTGCTACATTTAGCATCCATGTAACCTTTTGCAACTTTTAGCTAGCCTTTTAGAATCTTATTAGCCATTTGGACATTTTAGCCCTACTAACTTAATCTTTAGCTCCTTCGGCTGATTTCAGCAGTCATTCAATGCCCAGTGTTCATGCTGCATTTTTTAGGAAGTTCTATTTTGTTTTGTGTTTCAGGAGAAATAGACGGCTTCAACATCCCGGAGGTCCAAGCCTGCCCCGAGGTGGGCGTGTACTTGGAAATGTCTCCCACCGAGCTGGCCAATCAGACACCGCGAGACATGAAAGGTTTGGCGAAGCGTCTCTTCTGCGACGCCTACATGTACCTGTATCAGAGCCCCAACATGTGTCTTTATCGCTGAGGGGACGACGCGCTGCACAGCTAACAGCTTGGGGTTAGCTTGGCTGGGTTTTGTTTTTACTTTTCTTTTGCTGGATTGCTTTGTTGTTCTTTTATGGGATGTGTCTAAACGCACACAAACATTTAAACTTGTGTATTTGTACACATAAATTCATGTATACATTATATTTTTTTTGTCCTGGTGTAGGGAAAGGGCTTCCAGGATTGAATGAATTATAGTAAAAAGGTGTTTTAATGTTTCGTATCAAATAAACTGACACAATCTTTGCACTTAGAAGAACATCAGCATACAAACTGTAAATTCTCAGTGTTCTCTGCTCTGCACGTTCTGGATGTTCCTGAGCTCCAGCTCACCTGGTTTGAGTTAACGCGTCGTTAACAGACGAGTCCTCTGGGGTGTGGCGGAGCGGGGAACCATTTGAAACATGTTCCGAGCTCCAGGACTGGAGAACGCTGCGTTGAGTCACACGTTGCACTAAAATATTTAAACTTATGTTCAAGTTTGCTGCTTTATAATTATTCATATTTAGAGCTCTTTGCATATTTTTTTTTTTTTAGACCGAATGTGACCAAAGTTGACTGGTTAGGTCTAAATGTTCTGGAATCGTTCTGAAGGTTAAACTGCCAAATGTTAATTTAAAATAAACGGTGAATGGACCAGTTCGTTTTAATCAGATGTGTTCAGTTCCTAACGGTTTTCTCACCTGAGAAAATTCAGTATTTTCCAAACTCTGGTGATTTTTGGTACCGAAGAGAACAGTTGAGAAAACTGCGCTCTAATGGCTGCTCAGGGTTTCTTTCAGATTTGGGGATTTTTCTATCCAGACTTGATGTTAATTCACTTTAATTGTGATACAATGAACATAATAAACAAAACAAAGAACAACTTTTCGGTATTTGTCTTTATTCATAGAGTTGATGTTTAGCCCGGGTGCTTCCCGTTAGCATGTTAGCACTGTCCAAAGCAGGTTTAGATTTTGTTGTCTGAATTAACTTTTATTATTTCTGAGCAAAGAGAAGAAAGACCAAAGTTAACTCAGCTCTGATTTTCTTCAGTATATTTAATATTTAATACTGGTAGAAAGGCTCGTTACCCAATATGTGTTGGTTTATTGTTCATGGTTTATTTTCTTTGTTTTGGTCGCGCTTATATTCCGCACATCCTGACTCGTGATGTGTATATATATATATATATATATATATATATATATATATATATATATATATATATATATATATATATACATTGTTTATTTTTCTCTTTGTTTTTGTTTTTTTGATCAACATAAAATTACATGTACTTTACATTCTTTTAAGTAGTTTTAATTTCTGTTGTGTTTTACAGTTTGTTCAGAAAGATTTTTAAAAAATCAAAGGTTGCGTCAATATTACATGATCCTTTTTTTTCTGTTGTTGGTTGTAAACGAGGAAAACTTTCAGAAACTTCCCACAGGAAGTGAACTTTGGAAATATTCCAAGTTAGAAATGTTTCAAACAATCCCAAAAACTCTTAACGAATCAGTGCAGCTAAAGACCTCCGAGCTTATTCTTGCTTGAACATTTATATGGAAACATGCACAAATGTTGGCATATAATCTAAGAAACATGTCCACCATTTTGTGCTAAGCGGGAAAAATAAACCTGATTAAAACGCAATAAAAACCCGTGACAACAAACAACTGAAACTTCCCCCTTCAAAAGTTTAGATTTCAACATTTTTTAAATTTCATTCAACCTTTATTTTTACAGATTAATCACATTGAGCCTCAGAGACTAATTTACAAGTAAGACCTGTTTCAGACAGACAAAAGAGAAAACATGAGGGGAGGTTTAAAAAAAAAATCGTATCTTGCACTATGTCCTGGCCGGGGCACAGTGTGAGAGTTGAATGAAAAAGACCTTGCACATAGACAGCTCATAATAGCATCATGATACATTTATGAGAGGAGACCGACTAAGATGGTGCGTTGTCCGTGAACGCTGCCAGAAAGTTCCATAGTCCTGAAGAGATGGTACAGTGTCTATCAGCAGGCTCAGCTCTGATACAGGTCCACAGGTGTCCTTGGGAAGGGAGCAGGAAGGGGAGGGGGGAGCAAAGCAGAGCTTCTAGTTCACAATAACCTCCAGGAGACATTTGACATCAAGGGACAATATGGACAGACACACCATCTTCCACTCGCCCCCGGAATCCATGGTATGTCCAGCTGCAAATGTCCCTTCAGGGCATGAGGGTTCTCCTGCACCCCGTCTTCTCGTCAAGAAAATTGTATCGGTTGCATTGAGAGACCAGCTGACTAGATCCATAATTTATGATTCAGAAGATGTGTCTCTGAGAAAGATTCACAGGACGAGCAAAAAGCAGGAGCGGGAGAAAAATGCGTCCGTCTTCACCGAGAGCAAGCAGGAAGTGCAGTGCAGAATGAGTTCACAGAGAGGTCGTAACTGCTTCACAATCTCTTCACAATATAGAAGGCTGTGAATAATATTGACGCACGTGATGTTTGTAAAATTTTAATTTTTTTATAGTGTTAAATTACATGCCCACGAAAAAGCAGACGTTTTATGGAAGAGTCTCCGGCTGGTCGAAAACTTTCTGTTTGTCCGTTCATAACGTCTGCTCCGCTCAAGAGATAATCTAATAAAACTTCATACACATCTGCATCATCACTAGACGGAGTGTCACGTGTACTTTATCGCACCAGCTTCAAGGTCAAGGTCAGAAATCAAGGTCAAATGTAACATGTCTTTGCTTGCCATAGATTGCTTATGGTAGTTAGTTGACGGACGTATAATGTGCCTTATTTAGTATTCTTGTTTTTGAATTAATCATGAACTTCTAATATCTTAGTTACGATTTAACTGGGATTATCATGTTTGCTTTGATAAAAATAACAATTATTCAGACATTATGGCTCCACACAAACATAGTTTTAATGTATTTTCATGCTACTTTCTGAGTCAAAGTCTAATCTCTGAATCGGCTCCAGGCTCGATGTTTTTCATCCTTTGTGTTTTCTTGTCTTTAAATATATTGAGATAAGATTATTTCTCCCTCGCGTGTCCACATCTTTGCTCACGCCGAGCAGAAGACTGGCTCCACGTTCAGCCTGAACGTGTCCAGGCCTCACCAGAAGACGTTTTGCTGATTCAAAACAGGTTGTGCTTTAATGAAAATCATGTTCAAGTGAGTTCAGCCTTGTTCCTGCACACGCACGTTTTGACGCTCACGTAGTGTTTCCCTCAGAAAACACAAGGGGTAACTGACTGCTGGTGCTCCTCAAAGGTTCTGTCCTTGCAGGGATGAAAAACGTCTGCTGCACTTCAGCAGAACGCAGCTTTGAAGCAGCCTCAGCTTGATGGGTCAACATCTCATGCACTTCAACACGACACGGCCTGAATCCTCCAAGTCCTGCCATCAAAGTGCACAACCTTGTCAGCTCCTTCTCCTCTCGTTTCGTTTTTCTTTCAAGCGATGCCTCGCTGAGTCTTTGTCTTGTTCCTGGCTGCTTTTGATCCTGCTGCCTGGTCTCTGAGTGACCTCCACGTTTGTTAGGGAAGTGGAGCTTTGTGATGAGTCGGGCTCTTTTCTACACTCCAGGGTGCAGGCCGGAGCCTTGAGTCCTAATCGGAGCGCCCCCCCCCCCCCCCCAGCCCCCCCTTCATTCAACCTGCTCAGCATATTCATTATTATTCAAAAACCCACTGATCCTGCATGTGTGTGTTTGCACAGCGGGAGGGTTGTGTTTGTTTCCAGCAGCAGAGCTGATCCACTGCTGGCTTTGTTGATAGAAGATAATGTCACAGTAATAAAGCACAGAGGCCGAAGAGCAGACCTTCCTCTTCATCAACTTGACATTTGCAGTGTGGCAAACAAACCCGTCTGAAGTTATGCTCTCCAGGAAACACTATTAGAATAAAATAAAAAACAGTCTTCTGTTGTTTCCTCCTCGTTTGATCCAGCTCTGATGATCTTAACGAGCTTTGTTAATTATTCTTTTACGTTTCCTTGTTTTCATCAGTAAAAGCTTCAGGTCCCGTTTTACTAAATGTCTTTCTGTTCTAATGTTGTCACGGTTCTTCATAAAGGAGAAGCCATGCACAGAACCAGCAGGAAGAACACGACAAACGTGAACCAGACTAAATGTTCACGGCTCCGGTGTAGGCTGAGCGTCTGGTCCAAGCTTAAATCAGAGAGAGGGTGCAGGTGTAGCTGCTCAGGTGATTAACACTGTGGAAGGTTACTGGAGGCAGAACACGAAATCCCACACAGAATCCACATTGCTTGAAGTCCAGAGTGAAGTTTCAGTGTTTCCCCTACCATTATACAGGCGGGGTGCCCCACCCCATCAACAGAACTGAGCCTACCAAACTGAACTTGCCCCTCCCACCCCCACCCGGCACTGACGTATTGCTAAGGTAGCGGCGCAAAATACAGGCTCTCTAGCTAAAAAACCCAAGGCAGCACTCACATTGCCTCTTCCCTCATGTTGAACGCCCCCCGCTCAAAAACTGTTAGTACAAGCTGAGCTCAGACGTCTCCGTCCCCCCCATCAGAAAAAGTCATGGATGAGAAGAGCATCCCGCCATGGCAAGCTAACTAGGGGAAACACTGAGTTTCCACAGTCAGTGATGGTTTTGGTCCATGTCCTCTGCTGGTGTTGGTCCACTGAGTTCCCTGAAGTCCTCAACCAGGTAAGACCCGTCTGATGTCTCTGGTTCAGGAGAGGCTGAACTTGAAGGAGACATTTGTAGCTCGTATCCAGGAGTTCATCAGCTGATCAGGGTGTGACACCAGGAGTTTACACTGAACCTCTTCACAAGGTTCTCATTTTAAATTTGTAAATGACTCCTCGACGCTCCATGGGACTAACGTATATATGAAAATTTTCTTAGACACTGAATTTTTATTATTTTGTTAACCATAATCATCAAAACTACAGTGCCTTGTGAAAGTATTCGGCCCCCTTGAACTTTTCAACCTTTTGCCACATTTCAGGCTTCAAACATAAAGATA